GAGAGATGTCCCCGCCCCCTGTATTCCCGGGACTCCACCCAGGAAGATCTCACCCTCCCCCACCATGAGAGATGTCCCCGCCCCCCGTATTCCCGGGACTCCACCCAGGAAGATCTCACCGTCCCCCACCATGATCAGGTCGGTGGGTCTGAAGGACACCGGGATCTCTACAAGGACGTCGGGATGGAGAATGCCCCGCCCCTCACATCACCGGGTAAGAGGAGACGTATGTCATGTCCCCAACACACGAGGAGGAGATACTGAACACCACATGGAAGGTCCATCTCCATTCCTTTGTCATGTGACCAGCCAATGAGGGGGAGCCATTGATGTGTTGTAATTGTACTCCATTCTTTTCCCCCACAGAGGTCACCACAAATATCCGTCCGGAACTTCGAGACTCAGATCCATCGGGCTCCAAGGGTGCTGACCCAGCAGATAATATTACACGTAAACTCAATGAGGAGAAATTTCCGTGTGCGGAAAAAGTTTCACGTCAAGAACAAATCTCACACGACATGTGAAGCATCACAGCGCCGCCCGGCCCCATTCGTGTACAGAGTGTGGGAAGTGTTTCATATGGAGATCGGATCTGGTTACTCATCGTAGACAGCACACCGGAGAGCGGCCATTCTCATGTGCTGAGTGCGGAAAGTGTTTTACGTGGAGATCATCTCTTATTACTCACGGACGGCAGCACACCGGGGCCCGGCCCTATTCATGTTCGCAATGTGAGAAAGCTTTCAAATCCAGGTCGGAGCTTTTCCATCACCTGGGAAAACACACGAGCGAGAGGCCCTATTCGTGCTCAGAGTGCAGTCAGAGTTTTAAGAAGAAAGCTCACCTGACGCGACATCTCCGGGTTCATACGGCACAGACACCCTTCTCCTGTTCAGAGTGCGGGAAAGGCTTTATCGAGAAGTCCAGTCTCATCGTACACCACCGGACCCACACCGGCGAACGCCCCTTTCCCTGCCCGGACTGCGGTAAAAGCTTCACTATGACGTCTTCTCTCACCAAGCATCGCAAGCTACACGCGGGCCACTCTTCGTCATCCTGCTCAGAGTGCGGGAAAGGCTTTACGACCAAATCGGAACTTCTTCTACATCAGAGAGGTCACAGCGGTCAGAAGATCTTTTCTTGCTCGGAGTGCGAAAAAACTTTCTTAGCAAAATCCCAACTCGTCATACACCAGAGAGGTCACACCGGTGAAAAGCCTTTTCCCTGCTTAGAGTGCGGGAAATTCTATGCGAATAAAGGGAACCTCAATATCCACATGAAACTCCATACTGGTGTGAAGCCATTTTCCTGTCTAGAGTGCGGGAAGCGTTTTGCTAAGAAAGGAGAACTTCATCGACACCAGAGGATTCACACCGGAGAACGCCCCTATTCATGCTCCGAGTGTGGGAAATGTTTTGTACGAAACGAACACCTTCGTACGCACCAGAGGAGTCACACTCCTGGCGAGCAACCTTTCTCATGCCCGGAGTGCCAAAAATGCTTTACCAACAAAGGAAACCTCAACGCCCATTTAAAAATCCACGCGGGCGGAAAGCCATTTTCCTGTTTGGACTGCGGGAAATGTTTCACCGAGAAAGGAAGCCTTGACAAACACAAGAGAACTCACACCGGCGAGCGTCCCCATTTGTGCCCCGAGTGAGGGAAACGTTTCATGCGGAAAGAACACCTCGGTTTGCGCCAGGAAAGTCATGCAGACGAGCAGCTTTTTTTTTCATCCGTGTCGTGCGGGAAAAGTTACAAGAAGGGAGGTCGCCTTGATAGACACCAGGGAACTCACACCAGTGACTTTTTTGTTTGTTTTGTTTCCTGAGCACTGGAAGTGTTTCACATACGACAAAGAAGTCATGCAGCTGTTTTCCATCTGTATAGTGCGGGAAATGTGTATAGTGCGGGAAATGTTACAAGTACGGAGGCCTTGATAGACCAGAAGGCCGTTCCTTTTGTAACCTTTTAGGAGTACATTCGGTAATGAAGGTGAAATCGGGGGGAGGGGCTTTATCAGACTTGAACAGGTCACTCGGTGGGTGCCGTAGACGCCTTTGCTCGCACGTTTCGACGAGGGTTCATCTCTGTTGACCTCGTGTCTCGTTGTAGAAGGGCAAAGACGATGATCTTCCCAGCTTGGTGTCTGCAGTGAAGGCAATAAAGTGAGGGAACATGGGGGAGGGGGGTCTATCTAAGTATTCACTATGACGTCTTCTCTCACCAAGCATCGCAAGCTACACGCGGGCCACTCTTCGTCATCCTGCTCAGAGTGCGGGAAAGGCTTTACGACCAAATCGGAACTTCTTCTACATCAGAGAGGTCACAGCGGTCAGAAGATCTTTTCTTGCTCGGAGTGCGAAAAAACTTTCTTAGCAAAATCCCAACTCGTCATACACCAGAGAGGTCACACCGGTGAAAAGCCTTTTCCCTGCTTAGAGTGCGGGAAATTCTATGCGAATAAAGGGAACCTCAATATCCACATGAAACTCCATACTGGTGTGAAGCCATTTTCCTGTCTAGAGTGCGGGAAGCGTTTTGCTAAGAAAGGAGAACTTCATCGACACCAGAGGATTCACACCGGAGAACGCCCCTATTCATGCTCCGAGTGTGGGAAATGTTTTGTACGAAACGAACACCTTCGTACGCACCAGAGGAGTCACACTCCTGGCGAGCAACCTTTCTCATGCCCGGAGTGCCAAAAATGCTTTACCAACAAAGGAAACCTCAACGCCCATTTAAAAATCCACGCGGGCGGAAAGCCATTTTCCTGTTTGGACTGCGGGAAATGTTTCACCGAGAAAGGAAGCCTTGACAAACACAAGAGAACTCACACCGGCGAGCGTCCCCATTTGTGCCCCGAGTGAGGGAAACGTTTCATGCGGAAAGAACACCTCGGTTTGCGCCAGGAAAGTCATGCAGACGAGCAGCTTTTTTTTTCATCCGTGTCGTGCGGGAAAAGTTACAAGAAGGGAGGTCGCCTTGATAGACACCAGGGAACTCACACCAGTGACTTTTTTGTTTGTTTTGTTTCCTGAGCACTGGAAGTGTTTCACATACGACAAAGAAGTCATGCAGCTGTTTTCCATCTGTATAGTGCGGGAAATGTGTATAGTGCGGGAAATGTTACAAGTACGGAGGCCTTGATAGACCAGAAGGCCGTTCCTTTTGTAACCTTTTAGGAGTACATTCGGTAATGAAGGTGAAATCGGGGGGAGGGGCTTTATCAGACTTGAACAGGTCACTCGGTGGGTGCCGTAGACGCCTTTGCTCGCACGTTTCGACGAGGGTTCATCTCTGTTGACCTCGTGTCTCGTTGTAGAAGGGCAAAGACGATGATCTTCCCAGCTTGGTGTCTGCAGTGAAGGCAATAAAGTGAGGGAACATGGGGGAGGGGGGTCTATCTAAGTAACGGGGGGGAGGGGAGAACAAAGGGGAATACCAAACAAGTTGTAGTCGTGCTAATCTACCACTAGGGGTCAGGCCTACCCCACAATATAATGAGATACCATGCAGACCCCCTAGCAGTGTAACAGCCCACCATACGCGGCCCGACCAACGGCAATACCCCGGAACCTTCTATTACTGAACCATACTCTGCAACACGTGTGTCCCCTTTAAAAAATCCTCCCGCAATGCACTGCAAAGATGTTTATGAAAACAATAAAGTTTTGTTTTGTTCAAATTTTTTCTTTTTAATGCGACACAAAAAAAGTGGTTGAAACAATAGAAATAAAGGAAAGTCGTCCGTCAACCATCGGCCAGGTCAGGGGTAGGCGACCTCGGCTCTCCAGCTGGTGCTGAAACTACAAATCCCATCACGCTTCTGCCTCTGGGAGTCGTGGCTTGCAATGCCTTATGGGATTAGTAGTCTCAGCGCCGGCTGGAGAGCCGAGTTTGCCTCCCCCTGGGGAAGGAGGAGTCTATGTGGGCTGTTAACGGAAGCCGAAGCAACTCCCGCGTGAGCGCACAGGACGTGTGCGGCACGCCTCCGCCCCTTCTTCCCCGCTACCACCACCCCTCCCCCCACCACACTCACATCTGCCGGCAATTCATGGCTGTCAAAGTGACAGCCGGCAGTTGCCGTGTATAGAATGTAGATATGGCGGCTTCCGCTACAGTGTTTCTAAACGTTGCTCGGGAGAGTTAGAGAGAGATACATTGTTATGTGATTG